AGACTATAGACCAGACTATAGACTAGACTATAGACTAGACTATAGACTAGACTATAGACTAGACTATAGACTAGACTATAGACTAGACTATAGACTAGACTATAGACTAGACTATAGACTAGACTATAGGCTAGACTATAGACTAGACTATAGACTAGACTATAGACTAGACTATAGACTAGACTAGACTGTAGACTAGACTATAGGCTAGACTATAGACTAGACTATAGACTATTCTATAGACTAGACTATAGACTAGACTATAGACTAGACTATATACTAGACTAGACTAGACTAGACTATAGACTACTAGACTAGACTAGACTATAGACTAGACTACTAGACTAGACTATAGACTAGACTAGACTACTAGACGACTAGACTAGACTAGACTATAGACTAGACTAGACTAGACTAGACTATAGACTAGACTATAGACTATAGACTAGACTAGACTATAGACTAGACTATAGACTAGACTATAGACTAGACTATAGACTAGACTATAGACAGACTATAGACTAGACTATAGACCAGACTATAGACTAGACTATAGACCAGACTATAGACTAGACTATAGACTAGACTATAGACTAGACTATAGACTAGACTATAGACTAGACTATAGACTAGACTATAGACTATACTAGACTATAGACTAGACTTGACTTGACTTGATCGACTTGACTCGACTTGACTTGACTTGACTTGACTAGACTATAGACTAGACTATAGACTAGACTATAGACTGGACTATAGACTAGACTATAGACTAGACTATAGACTAGACTATAGACTAGACTATAGACTAGACTATAGACTAGATTATAGACTGTAGACTAGACAATACACTAGACTATAGACTAGACTATGGCCTAGACTATAGATTAGAATATAGACTAGACTAGACTAGACTTAGACTAGACTATAGACTAGAATATAGACTAGACTAGACTTAGACTAGATTATAGACTATACTAGACTATAGACTAGACTATTGACTAGACTATAGACTAGACTATAAACTAGACTAAAGACTAGACTATAGACTAGACTATAGACTAGACTACAGACTAGACTATAGACTAGACTATAGACTGGACTATAGACTAGACTATAGACTAGACTATAGACTAGACTTTAGACTAGACTATAGACTAGACTATAGACTAGACTATAGACTAGACTATATACTAGACTTTAGACTAGACTATAGACTAGACTATATACTAGACTATAGACTAGACTATAGACTAGACAATATACTAGACTATAGACTACATAATTTGTAGAATATGGTCTAGACAATAGACTCGACTATAGACTAGACTATAGACTAGACTATATACTATATTATAGACTAGACCATAGACTAGACTAAATACTAGACTATAGACTAAACTATGAACTATTGACTAGACTATAGACCAGACTATAGACTAGACTATAGACTAGACTATAGACTAGACTATAGACTAGACTATAGACTAGACTATAGACTACACTATAGACTAGACTGTAAACTAGACTATAGACTAGACTATAGACTAGACTATAGACTAGATTATAGACTAGACTATAGACTAGACTATAGACTAAACTATAGACTAGACTAGACAGTACTCAAGACTATAGACTAAATTATGGACTACGCTATAGACTAGACTATAGACTTGACTAGACGAGAGAAGACTAGACTATACTAGACTATAGACTAGACAGTACTCAAGACTATAGACTTGACTAGACTAGACTAGACTAGACTAGACTAGACTATAGACTAGACTAGACTAGACTAGACTAGACTAGACTAGACTAGACTAGACTAGACTGGACTAGACTAGACTAGACTAGACTAGACTAGACTAGACTAGACTAGACTAGACTAGACTAGACTAGACTAGACTAGACTAGACTAGACTAGACTAGACTATAGACTAGACTAGACTATAGACTAAGCTATAGACTAGACTATAGACTAGACTAAAGACTAGACTAGACTAAAGACTAGACTATAGACTAGATTAAAGACTAGACTATAGACTAGACTAAAGACTAGACTATAGACTAGATTATAGACTGGACTAGACTAGACTAGACTATAGACGGATTTCCCCTTAAATATCATAGAGGTGGTAGGACAACTTCTGGCCAAGTTAATGTCGAATTTCATGGATATAAGATTTTTTCTAAACAAAATAAGAAGTACAATACATAACGCTACATATTAATTAAATACATTCCACAAATAGTTGTGCTTGGCAATGGAACCCCCTAATTTGAAACAATAAATGCATTCCACACAAATAATATTTAACTTACGTTGCCAACCGAAAAGAAAACACTTTTAATAATATCATCATGTTGATCATAATTTTAAACAAACGTATTCCTTTGTTTTATTTTCATTAAATGGCTGTTTACAAAATCAAAATGCCACCTAATAACGAGCGCTGAAAAACATAATTTCAAGTTTAAACTTTAAAGCAAATACTTTTTAGTTTTCAAACATATTTATTATTAGTAGAATAGGCATTTTGTTTTATTTATAAAGACTACGGGTGAGAAAATAGTAATAGTTCCGATGCACGGAAGACTATTTTCAATAAGGTTGTTTTTAGGTTTTCTTGTTTTTCGTTTTCCTTTAAATATGTATGTGTTTTCTTAAAGAAATAATTGTATTTTTTGAATATTTTAATAATTTTTTTTCTTTTGCTTGCATTTGAAATATGTGTTTGACGAATAAAGAGCCTGGGAGTTTGTTTTTTTTTTTTGTAGTATAAATTAGCAAATGATGAAAGTGTTTACTCAGTCACGTTTCTTTTTACGTCTAGGCTTCTTTTTCTTTTTTCTTCTCTCCTATTTCTTACTGCTCTTGGTATTTGTATCATCCTTACTCTTGTCGGTCTTTTCTGTATCGGAACCGGCCTTTTTGTCCTTGGTATCCTTGTTTTCTTTTTCTTTGCTTTCTTTCGTTTTATCATCGGACTTCTTATCTTTGCCCTCTTCAGCATCACGATTGGCCAATTTATTGTTGATGAGATTGTGTAGGGCGATAATAGAACGTACCATGGAGGCTAGATAGACTACCAACATTTGATCATTTGTTTTGACATACATGGTCTCAGTAAATTGATCGTTTGTAATGTCGGGCAATAGATTGAAAATATCCTGTAGTTGATAGACAATTTGATAATTTATGGGCATCTTGCCATCACCAACACGCTGCAGATAGTTCTTAATATCATCCAACTGAGCCTTAAGACCGCGCAGACCCATTAATTGATTGGTAATCTTTTGTGATAAACTACCGACAGTGGTATCCTTAATGTCACGCAACAAATGCTCTACGCCCACTTCCTCCGCCTCTTCTGCTCCAATTTCGCTGGGTACATGTTCAAATGTTTTGCTGGTGGGTGAACCATCATCATGAACTTCTTCGACGGCTATGTAAGCTTCTGTGGGTAAACCTAAATCTTTAGGTTTTGCGTCTATAATGACTAAAACAGAATTGGGACAATAGCGTCTTATCAGTTCATTGATAGCAATATCATTTTGATGTAGTTTGGGTCCAGTGTGGTACCAGCCCACAACACGTTCTTTGGCATTGACTTTTTTAAACATGCCATACATATTTTCCAAATAATCATGATCCAAAAACCAAACAGATTTATCTTTGTCATCCTCGTCGAAAGGCACTATAAAGAAAAACGAAAAAGTTTTATAGTAAAAATAATATTTCCAAATAAATCAAGTCTTACCAGCAAAACTGTTGGATATATCTAGAACACCCTTAGACCTCCAGCAACCCAGTAGAACACCCACTACACGCTTTTGATTACCAATCTTGCCCATACGATTGAAATGATCCACCACGGACAACAATACCAGTGGATGTACAATGACTTTGTTTACCAAAACTTCTGATGAAGGCATTTTGTTAAATTTCTTAAATATTTCACAAATAACTTGTTAACAAATTCGTTTCCGTCTATAAAACTCTTTATTTGAGTGAAATTTCAATTAACCGGAATTTGTTTGTTGCAAAAATCTCACAAAAGACACTTTCAATGTAAAGATTATTTTGCAAACTCCTAAATGACAGGCAGAATTTCTAAAGACAATTTTTGTTTTTCATGCTGTCAATGTTGGCAGCACTGACAAAACAACAGTGTTGCTGTGAAATGTCAAAAATATTATGAGGACAACTCTGTTATTGTTGAGAAGTCAGTAAATTTTTGTTATTTACCGTTAGTTATACATTTTTTAAGGAAAACGTTTAATTTGGGAAATAATTAATAAAACAGAATGGATTTAGTAAAAAATTGTGAGAAATCTGATTTTAAAGAAGTTTTGAAGAAGTATCTTGAAGAAATGGTAAGTTGTAATGAAAAATACATTGTTTTAATATGATAAATTATAATGATAAGTTAAGTGATACCGAGGACGATAAGATTCCTATTCGACTGGTCTACGTAAATTCACAAAATTAATATATAATGTAATCCAGACCATAGGCTATGTTCAATCCTATAAGATATCTAGTTTCTAGAGTCAATGCTTTATTGAGATACGAAACAAGACTATACCCAGAATATACGAAACGAGTCTATACTCCAGAATATAGACGAGACTATACTCCTAACTATAGACGAGAATATAGTCCAGACAAGACGATAGAAGAGAATATAGTCCAGACTGTAGAAGAGACTAAGTCCAGACTATAGACGAGACTATAGTCCAGACTGTAGAACAGACCATAGCCCAGACTATAGATGGGACTATAGTCCAGACTGTAGGTGAGACTATAAGCCAGACTACAGAATAGACTATAATCCAGACTCTAGCCCAGACTATAGAAGAGACTATAATCCAGACTGTAGAAGAGACTATAGTCGAGACTATATATTCCAGACTATAGATGAGTCTAAAGTCCGGACTATTGTCTTGACGAGAATATTGGGATTTTAGACTAATTTCTTTAGTATTCTTCTTTTCAGTCGACCAGACATAATTCACTAAAATCTCAATTACTTAGTAAGCAGCAAATGAATAACAATTTAAAGGCCAACACTGAGCAAGCAATCAACAACGATCTAGACACTTCAATGACAGCCATTGATGTTATGCTGAATAATATACATGGTCAGATAGAAGGTGGTATGTACATTTTAACAACTAAAACTGGACAAGTAAAAAAATGCAACGAAACCATAAATGTAAAAGTCGATGAGGAAAATAAGAAACTACATGAACGTTTCTATGAAATGATTACTAGAGATGTGATGACATTGAAAGTAAGTTTAGTAGTTTTTATGGGCTTTTATTTAACATAATTTATTTTTCTTGATTTTTTTAGCCTTATCATGAAGTTGAAGAAGCTATAAATGATTTAAAGCATAAAACAGATTGCTGCCTAGAGAAGTGGCAAAAAGAAAAAGAATTATTTAATAGAATACTACATAATCGTGTCCAGGACTTTATACAGATAAGAGATGTTATTAATATGTTGGAGCCACTGGAAAAAGAAGTGATGTATGTTATTTAAAGTCTTCAATTAAACAAAATGTTGTTTTTCTTAAAAACTTTGGAATTTTCTAGGCTTCATATTAAAAACTTGATGAAAACCGTTGAACAACAATTGAATACGTTTGGTTTAGAGCGTATCGAAGAGGCAAATGAAAACTCTAACGAATCAAAGGATTTGCTTAAAGATATAGATAATTTGAAGACACAACTAAATATAAATTAAAGAATATTTAAATAAAATTGTAGTAGTTTAAGTTTATAACAGTTAAAAGGTCTCAACTAAAGAACAATTTTTAAATTTCAATTTAATAAATCGTTGAATTACATATTTAAAGCTTTTAAAGAAACTTAATATTTTTCAACCAGAAATTGTATCTTGAAGTAAGCAGAATCTAATTTTAATATAGGTTTCGGATAGGTATCTAGTTCTTGTATTAACTTAAAGGTATGGAATAAAAAACATGTATTTTTACTTAAAATAAGTATGTATATTTTTGTTAAACATAAAATCTTAATTTGTCTAAACTTATATCTATATAGTAGTTAAATTGTATAAAAAATAATAAAAAAATAAACTTGTACTCAGTCACTTTTTAACAAGTTTCCAATTCCGGTGGTATGGGAATATCATTATGAGCAGCAAATTGCAATAAAGCGGCATATTTCTTTTTCCAGGTTTCAATTTCTCTAGCACACTGTTCATTATCTTCATGCATTTGTTCCAGTTCAGTCCATTCGTGCGACTTTTCTGTTTCTAAAACATCTTTCTGTTCGATACGTTTAATACGGCAACTGGCAGCATAGCCACGATTTTTCAAAGTACGTCTACGCTGCTTCATGCGTACAATCTCCTCGCGGTTAAGACCACGCATTTTTAAAGTGCGATTTAAATCACGCACAGAAATAGAAACCAACTCATCGTCGCTAATATCGGGTATGGGACAGGGCGAGAGAGGGGCCTAGAAAATTCCAAAACACATAGACAAAATATTAGTATATTTGTTTGCTTTTATATATTGAAAATTTTTCAAAAACGAAAAAAGTTTGATATTATTTGCATTTACATAAAGATCTTCAGTTACCATGGTTGATTTTATTATATTGCTCCTTGACTGTTGTTGTTGTGCCTGTGCTAGCTGCTGCTGTTGTAATGATGGCTGCTGTTCCATTGTATTCAATAAGGGATTATTAATTTTTTGCAAGTTGTGATGATGTGTTGATTTTTATTTTTTAGGTAAAAAGATAGATAATTATTGACTTTTTCTTTTTATGGTTATATAAATATATAAAACAAGTATTTGTATTTTACATATAAAAAATATAAATACCGTTTTTAATAGTTTATTTATTGTTTTGTTTTTTTATAACAGGTGAATTTATTAAAAATATTATTATTCACAATCTACAACAAATTTTCACTGCGTTTAATGCAAGAACTCAAAGTCAATAATAATGCTGAAGGTACGGCGTTAATTATACATATAAAAATAGTGTTGGTAAACGAACAAAATATGTAAATCAGTAATGATAACTTTTGCTTAAAAAAAAACTCGCTGAAATTATTTAATAAAATATTTGCGCTGTAATTAAATTTGTTAACTATTCAAAAATCAATTTTTGAAGAAAAATTGTATAGGTTCAAATATAATCAGAATTATTTGCCATTTTTTTGTTTGCTTTATTTAAAGAGAGTAAACCAATTTTGTTTTTCATTTATACATCGTTTTTGGATAAAAATTATGAATGGACAATAACCGTAGTATTTTCGCAAGTGCGTTTAACTAATATAAAGCAGACTTTAGATTTTTCATACATTTAAAAAATGTTTTTTAATTTGGAAATGAAAGAATAATCTTCTTAACTTTGTGACGTATAAAGTAATGTCATATATATTATTTAATGATAAAATTTTTCATTAAAATTGTATTTTCTGTTAAAAAATTGTGTTTTACAATTTTCAAATATTCATATTTACGGATATATGTACCTCGAACATATAATTTTGAATAATTTAATGCTTATTTGAGATGAATAACTTTTGCAGTTCAAGTTCGCTTGTCATACATTTTTATTTAAAACTTGGCATCACTGCTGTATGAATTTGTTCAAAATAACAGCTCTGTTCTTTTCTCCTATTTTTACCTTCTAGCCACTGTTGCCAGATTTGACGATATATCTTCATTTTGACGATTTCCACTTAGGGTTCTATAGTTGAAACGAAAAGTCGACTTTTCGACTTTTTTCATTTAGTTAAAAGTCGACTTTTCGACTATTCGACTTTTTGCATTTTATGAAAAGTCGATTTTTTCGACTTTTCGACTTTTTCCATTTAAATAAAAGTCGACTGTTAGACTTTTCGACTATAAGTATTTTTTTTAGTCGACTTTTCGACTTTTTCCGACTTTTTTTCGACTTTTCGACTTTTTTCGACTATTCTACTTTTTTCGACTTTTCGACTTTTTCGACTTTTTTCGACTTTTTCCGACTTTTATCGACTTTTCGATTTTTTCGACATTTTGACTATTTTCGACTTCTTTCTACTTTTTTCCGACTATTTTTTGACTTTTTTCGAGTTTTTCCGACTATTCGACTTTTTCGACTTTTTCCGACTTTTCGACTTTTTCGACTTTTTCCGACTTTTCGACTTTTTTCGACTTTCTTCGACTTTCTTCGACTTTTTTCGACTTCCAGACTTTTCGACTTTTCGGCTTTTTTCGACTTTTATTCACAAAGTCGACTTTTCGACTTTTTTCACAGACGATAGTCGAGTTATCGACTTTTTTGGAACAAATAGTCGACTTCGACTTTTTTCGACAAAAAGTCGATTATTCGAAAGTCGATTTATAGAACCCTATTTCCTGTCTCTCTAAGAGGGAATAGTGTTTTTGGACATTTGATTTAAAGGAGGAAATTTGTTTTGCATATGAATAATTGATACATCTAATATACATACATTTACTATAGATCATACCAAGTTAGTTTTCAAGAACTCAATGTAAAGTATTTTAAATCATATTTGCCAAATTAAACAGATAATAAACAAATGCATTCGTAATTCAGCTCTGCATTCGTGTTAACTTAACCTAAGTTTTAATTTTGATTATGTTGGAGAACCAAAAAAACTCAATCTGATATTCTGTCCAGTCGTACTGGAATAATTGGTGTTGGCGTTATAATCTTTCGATTCGGTCAATAAGTCTTAGCTGCATATGCAGCTAAGCAAACTTAAAGTACAAACAAACAAAACTAAAAACTATCGAAATTGATAAAAATGCCTCGATAGTTAAAATAATTACTATAAAATCATACCCGTTAATAAAACAACCTTTTGATAAAACAGCAAACCCTAACAGCTGTTTTTGATTGTTATGTGGTGAGTTTCTTTAAAAACGTAAACAAATGAAACAAAAACAATTTACTGGACATATTTATTTTGTGCTAAGAAAAATTTATGTATTTTTATAATGTTTTATATCCAGTGCAAGTGTTCTTGGTGTACACCATCTACCCCAATAATAATTCCGGTTTCTTTAGAATCAAACCTTTTTAAAAACGCCATATATAATGTGCAATTCATTCTATATTCCATGACTGGTTGATAGAGTCACGGAATCCATCGGAGATCAACCAAAAAAAATGAAAAAGGGGTGGCTTTAACTTCTTGTTCCGTTCATATGGGACAAGATTCGAGCCTCATCGTGTCAGTTCGCCAGATACCTCTTTTGTGTATATTGCAGGGTCCTGGTACCCAACACAGCCTTATTGTTAACGGTCTCATAATAACACTCATTATAACACTTATCGGTCCACAGTTGACCCTACCTAAAATCTCAAACAGATTATGCCATCCGATTTCTACACTTCCAACTTAAAGTTCTATATATGTTTTTATCGTGCACAAGATCGTCCGATAGACGTTATATATAATTTTCTATATACTACCATAGTAACATTTTTTGTGAAAAAAAGTTTGTTGTTGTAGTACACCCCTAGAACGATGAAATCCGGTAAACAAATTATGCCATTCGATTTCTACACTTCCGGCTTATATATAATTTTATATATACTACCATTGTAACATTTTTTGTGAAAAAAAAGTTTGTTGTTGTAGTACACCCCCTAGAACGATGAAATCCGGAAAAAAATTTATGCCATCCGATTTCTACACTTCCAACTTAAAATTCTATATAGGTTTTAATCGTGCACAAGATCGTCCGATAGACGTTATATATCATTTTATAAATTCGGCCATAGTATCATTTTTTGTAAAAAAAAGTTTGTTGTAGAACACACCCTAGAACGATGAAATCTGGAAAAAAATGTATGCCATCTGTTTTCTACACATCCAACTTAAAGTTCTACATAGGTTTTTATCGTGCACATGATCGTCCGATAGCAGTTATATATCAATTTATATATACTTCCATAATAACATTTTTTGTAAAAAAAAAGTTTGTTGTTGTAGTACACACCCTAGAACGATGAAATCCGGAAAAAAATGTATGCCATCCGATTTCTACACTTCCAACTTAAAATTCTATATAGGTTTTTATCATGCACAAGATCGTCCGATAGCAGTTATATATCATTTTATATATACGGCTATAGTAACATTTTTTGTAAAAAAAAGTTTGTTGTTGTAGTACACACCCTAGAACGATGAAATCCGGAAAAAAATGTATGCCATCCGGTTTCTACACTTCCAACTTAAAGTTCTATATAGGTTTTTATCGTGCACAAGATCGTCCGATAGCAGTTATATATCATTTTATATATACGGCTATAGTAACATTTTTTGTAAAAAAAAAGTTTGTTGTTGTAGTACACACCCTAGAACGATGAAATCCGGAAAAAAATGTATGCCATCCGGTTTCTACACTTCCAACTTAAAGTTCTATATAGGTTTTTATCGTGCACAAGATCGTCCGATAGCAGTTATATATCATTTTATATATACGGCTATAGTAACATTTTTTGTAAAAAAAAAGTTTGTTGTTGTAGTACACACCCTAGAACGATGAAATCCGGAAAAAAATGTATGCCATCCGATTTCCACACTTCCAACTTAAAGTTCTATATAGGTTTTTATCGTGCACAAGATCGTCCGATAGCAGTTATATATCATTTTATATATACGGCCATAATAACATTTTTTGGAAAAAAAAGTTTGTTGTTGTAGTACACACCCTAGAACGATGAAATCCGGAAAAAAATGTATGCCATACGATTTCTACACTTCCAACTTAAAGTTCTATATAGGTTTTTATCGTGCACAAGATCGTCCGATAGCAGTTATATATCATTTTATATATACGGCTATAGTAACATTTTTTGTAAAAAAAAGTTTGTTGTTGTAGTACACACCCTAGAACGATGAAATCCGGAAAAAAATGTATGTCATCCGATTTCTACACTTCTGACTTAAAGTTCTATATAGGTTTTTATCGTGCACAAGATCGTCCGATAGCAGTTATATATCATTTTATATATACGGCTATAGTAACTTTTTTTGTAAAAAAAAAGTTTGTTGTTGTAGTACACACCCTAGAACGATGAAATCCGGAAAAAAATGTATGTCATCCGATTTCTACACTTCTGACTTAAAGTTCTATATAGGTTTTTATCGTGCACAAGATCGTCCGATAGCAGTTATATATCATTTTATATATACGGCCATAGTTACATTTTTTGTAAAAAAAAAGTTTGTTGTTGTAGTACACACCCTAGAACGATGAAATCCGGAAAAAAATGTATGTCATCCGATTTCTACACTTCCAACTTAAAGTTCTATATAGGTTTTTATCGTGCACAAGATCGTCCGATAGCAGTTATATATCATTTTATATATACGGCCATAGTTACATTTTTTGTAAAAAAAAAGTTTGTTGTTGTAGTACACACCCTAGAGCGATGAAATCCGGAAAAAAATGTATGCCATCCGATTTCTACACTTCCAACTTAAAGTTCTATATAGGTTTTTATCGTGCACAAGATCGTCCGATAGCAGTTATATATCATTTTATATATACGGCTATAGTAACATTTTTTGTAAAAAAAAGTTTGTTGTTGTAGTACACACCCTAGAACGATGAAATCCGGAAAAAAATGTATGTCATCCGATTTCTACACTTCTGACTTAAAGTTCTATATAGGTTTTTATCGTGCACAAGATCGTCCGATAGCAGTTATATATCATTTTATATATACGGCTATAGTAACATTTTTTGTAAAAAAAAAGTTTGTTGTTGTAGTACACACCCTAGGACGATGAAATCCGGAAAAAAATGTATGCCATCCGATTTCTACACTTCCAACTTAAAGTTCTATATAGGTTTTTATCGTGCACAAGATCGTCCGATAGCAGTTATATATCATTTTATATATACGGCTATAGTAACATTTTTTGTAAAAAAAAAGTTTGTTGTTGTAGTACACACCCTAGAACGATGAAATCTGGA